GAAGTTGTTTGATGTCAGGGACATATGTTCTCATCTTTGTATCCTCAGAGCCCAGAAATGTACCTATACATGGCAGCACTCAGGAAATGTTGTTAAAAGAAAAACAATGAATGTGGCTACATGACACATACCCAGTTAGCAGGAATGTATTAATGCTAAGTCTTACATATCCCCTTTTCCACTGAACGTGCTTCTGCGTTAGGGAAGAAAAGAGAGACCAGACATGAGTGTAGAGGGACTTTCTTTTCTAGAAGTCAGAAGCTCTGTGTAATCCATGGCTGAACCTCTTTAGTGTTTGTTTTCATTGGAATCCTTTGAAAACTGTTGTTTCCTCCTCTGGTAAAAATGAATATGTTATCATGAATGCCACTCTTTTTCTTTCTAGGAATCTCCATATTCCATTCTCTTTGGCAACAATACTTCAATTGCTCCCTGTGTCTCTTACTTCTTATTTTTAGTAAAAGGAGCAACATTTTCAGTTTCAGTGTCCTTGGAAATGACCCTGTTGCTTTAAGCCACAGACTCTCCTCTCCATTTACTTCTGGCATGAACCACCAGTATAGTGATAAGATCTGTGGCCCAAACTGCTATATGACTAGACAGTTAACCCTTAAACAGCAAGGGGGTTAGGGGCACTGATCCCCTCCCCACCTTGTACAGTCAAAAATACACATATAATTTGGGACACCTGGGTGGCTCAGTCTGTTAAGCGTCTGACTTTTGATTTCAGCTCAGGTCATGATCTCAGGGTCATGAAATGGAGCCCGCATTGGGCTTTGCACTCAGTGCAGAGTCCGCTTGCTCCCTCTGCCCCTCCCTCTGCTCTCTGTCTTTCTCTCAAATAAATAAATAACATAGTTTTTAAAAATAAATTAAATATATAAATCTTAAAAAAATACACATATAACTTTTGACTCCCCCAAAACTTAGCTACTAATAATTGTCTACTGTTGACCAGAAGCCTTACCAATAATAGAAACATATCTTTTATATCTTATATGTATTATATATTGTAGTCTTACAATAAAGTAAGCTAGAGAATAGAAAACATTATCAAGAAAATCACAAGGAAGAGAAAATACATTTACAGTACTATACTGTATTTATAAAAAAAAAAATCCTGTGTAAGTGGACCCACACAATTCAACCCCATGTTGTTCAAGGGTCGACTGCATATAAAATCTATGGTAATCTCTTCAACCCATATTGACTAAGTCACTGAGATGACTTGTGGCTCATGGGTGTCAGGCCAGTCATTACAGTCACTTTCATTTACCAACCACCCTACTCTGATATGATTTTTCTTTTAGAAACTTGCAAATATTTTAAATCCTGCATTTATATTTTGACACATTCATCCCACCTGTCTCTCATCAATCCACAAGGAGTTTTAGATGGAATTTTTTTGCTACAACTCCTGTCTTAGGAAATGATGGCATACAACCCATGCTGGGTTCTAACACACTCACTTGCTTTGGTGTGACACGTTGGTGGACTATGGTGACATTAAGTGGGCCAGAGACACAGCAGACAGGCTTCAGGCTAATAAATTCTATTAAGAGCTGAGGGGCTTATATAACTATGTTTGGTACTTAGAGGAACTTAGAAAAGTAGAAATTTGAAATTAAAAAAAAAACCACCATAAAATCATTTAGTAACATTTTTCTCATTTGT